ACGCCTGCTCCACAGATTCTTTTTTCAGTAAAAGTTGTTAGAATTCATCCGTCGGTCTAGTCTCCTATATAAATTTCTCGAACCATTCATTGACAATGATATATGATGAGATAAATCAGTATTGCAGCAACGCTTCTGGAAAGCATTTAGGGCAATTTATGAAGATTTTGGGGAAAAAGTTTTAATTATTTGCACTGACTTAGGTCAGAGGATATGTGATTAAGATCTACCAGATGAGGGAGATTTTGTCCCATGGATCTAAAAAGCAGGCTCATTTACTTCTAGGGTGACTTAGTCTAGGGCTTATTAGGGCATTCCTGTCAGAATATCACATTCTTACACTGAGAATATTTTTCATCCTTGTGCTATGACCGAACACTGATTTGGTCTTGCGTGAAGTGCGATTTGCTTAATGTGACCTGCTCTTCTGAATTTGTTTACAGAAGATCGAAAAGATCACGATAAAGAACAGAAATACAGAGACAGCAAAAATAAACTTCTTATGAGTCAAGTGGCCTACTACCTGGCCTGTCGGCTGAAGATGAAAGGTAAGTTATAAAGGTCCACCATCAGGAAAGTGCTGAACAATGTCCTGTCTTGTTTCTGAGAAATGATACACTCTCTTCTTCAAAGTTAATTTAATCCTTCCCATAGTTCTAGGAAAATAGCAATGGGCAGTTTAACATTTTGTTAAAGATGGAAGAGAGAGGCCAAAGTATTTAGCAACTTTTCCACGTCTGCAGTAAGGCGGGTGTGGGACTAGTGTTAATATCACAGCTATTGATTCCTGACACAGGCACAGAACCACCTGTTTTTCTCAGCAAGAGGCTAAATCATTTTGACAGGAATCCTGTCTGCCATATGAGATCCTGCAGAACTTATAAGCAAGATAAAGGTAGAGGTGTTTATTTCCAGATTTCAGGGTGACTGAGTAGTTAAGACAAGTTGCTTTAAGGAGATTGAGAGTGGAGATGAGAAGGGGAAAAGCAGGGAAACGACATCTTCAAATCAATAGGCAAGGCTGTCAGTGACATCCCTCAGTCCTGATTAAACCAATTTGACGTCACCAGTTTCTCACCCATCATATGTTTCTGTTTCTTCTCCCCAGTCCCTGGCTTTCTGTGTTGTGCCCCAAATGTCAACATGGTGGCATCTGGCAGGTCTCCTTCCAGAAAAAGCACAGAAGTGAACATTCCAGAAGGCAATGAGAAATCCTGCTCCCAACAGGAAGAAAACCAACTGAATGTCGGAGCCAACAAAAATAGACTTATTATGAGGCAGGTGGCGTACTTGCTGAACTACCGGCTGAAGATATACGGTAAGTTCTATAGGTTGACCACCACGAAAGTGACAAATGATGTCCTGTGTTGTCTTGAGTAACTAACCATTCTCTTCATCAAAA